GGCCGGGCAGGGGCTGCAGCCGCCGCTACTCACGCTCGTTGGGGCAGAAGCCGTATTTCTTGTCCCGGTCGTAGCTGGCGGTGGTGGCACACCAGGGCAGCCCGTCCGTGCGCCCCTCCGTGATGCACCGGGAGTAGGAGTGGCCCTCGAAGACGAAGGGGAAGTGGCAGTCGGCCCCGTTGGCGTTCCCATGGCGGGTCTTCACCACTGCTCGGCAAGGGGGCAGCTCAGCAACGGGGTGGGTGGGCGTCGTCGGCCCCCCCAGCCCGCTGGGCCCCGCACTTACCTAAACCAGCTCCCAGCGTCCAGAGCTCGTCGTCATCAAAGTGGGCATCGCCCTGGATGCCCTGGCCCGGGGGAAAGGCGTGGGCCAAGAGCCCGTCCTTGCCATCAAAGGGGTACCCGTCCCCGTGCTCTGTGGGGACAAGCACCCTCAGAGGAGCCCTCACAGCCCTGCTGTGTGTCCGGACGCCAAACAGGCGAGCCCTGCGCACGCCCTGCGAGCCCACGTGCTCATGTGCCCGTTGGCATGCACAGAGGGAGCCCGGGCACGTGGGGACGTGGCCCAGGGAGACCCGGGGTGACGGTGCTGTGGGCAGGGCCCGTCACCAGCCCCCGGTCTCCCCGCAGGACATCACCTTGGCTGCCAAACATGATCATGATGTCCGCCTCGCCGCTGTATATCTGGGTGAAGGTGAGGGGGGTCACGTCGCTCCACACTTTGAACGCCCGCTTGAAGGCATCATCGATGACAGCACGGTCCAGGTCAGGGGAGTAGTTCATCACCCTGCCGGGGGTCAGCGGGGGTCAGCAGGGTCCCGGCTCATGCTGCAGGAGCCACCCTGCTCCAGGTGGGTGGCGGGGATGTGCCCCCACCGCGGGGGGGACAGCAGCACTGGCATGGCCGGGCGGAGCAGCTGGCCACCACCCTCAGGCCGGGGCTCAGATGCTCGCCGGGGAGCAGATGCTGCTGCTGTGCCGGCTTGTCCCTGGCTGCGCCGAGCCCCAGCTGCGCCAGCAGCACCAAGGCATGGCTGGGCCGAGGCTGCCGCCCCGCCTGGGCCCTCGTGCTGTCTCCGTCCCCCAGGAACCATCACCCCTGGGGCAGGGACTCACCGGTACGTCAGGTCCATGTGGTCCCACTTGAGATCCCCCTCGAAGGTGAGGAAGGTCCCCACATCGGGGACACCACAGCGGGGGGCGCGCATGGCCTCCAGCGTGCCGGCGTCCAGCTGCCCCGTCTCCTCCAGGCCGAGCTGCTTCTGCATCTTGCGCAGCGCCTTGGCCAGGGACACGTGCTTGCTGCCCGTCTTCTCCTCCGCGTCCGTGATGTAGCCGAACCGCAGCAGGTAGCCCTGGGGAGGAAGGGCAGCCGGGGGCTGAGCGAGGCGGGAGGGGGCACAGGCAGTCCCAGGCACCACAGACCCCCGGGGGCTCAGGGAGATGGGCAGCCCCCGAGCTCGGCCCGCGGCCCCACACTGCTGCCTTGGGAGCCCCTCGGGGTCCTGGGTGCCGGGAGGGGGCCGCGGGGCCGTGCTCCCCTCACCTCCGCCAGCTCCAGGTCTGACAGGGTGCTGACCAGCTCCCCCGGGAAGGTGACAACCGCCTGCGGCTTGCTCTGGAGAGGGGCCGCGCAGCAGGAGATGGCCAGCAGCCCCACGGCCAGCGGGGCCAGGAGGACAAGAGCCATGGTGTGGTGGTGGCAGGAGGGCTGTGGCTGTGCCGGGTCCCCGCTGCTCTGCTCCGGGTACCGCCAGGCTCCTGCTCCTATTTATGGCGCGGGGAGGGCAGTGAGTCACCCTCAGACCCCTCAGCCGCCGACTCACGCTCCCTTCCCACGGTGACGAAACGCACACTCAGGCTCCTCCGTTCTCTGCCTTAACTGTTTCATCACCTTGTTTACTAAACACGGCCATGTCGTTACTAAACACGGTAACGCCACGCGTGAGGAGAGCGGCCCTGCACGGCATGGCCCGGCTGCCCTGGGGCTGCCCTGTGGTGGGGCAGCCAGTGGCGAGGGGCACTGCCCTGCTGTCCCCGAGGCTGTGGTGGTGGCAAGGACAGAGGGTTGTGGGGTTCAGGACCCTGCTGCCGTGTCTCACACCGGCTGACGCTGAGCTCGGCCGGCCGAGGCCGATGCTGCCAGAGCCAGAGCCACAGGGGTCTGGGGGGCGCCAGGGCTGTGCGGGCAGAGCTGCCCCGAGAGCCCCTGCCCAGAGCCTCGGTGCCTGCGGCCGCCTGCCCGAGAGCCAAACACCTCCCGGGACACAGCATCCACCCCCGTGTCCCCCGCTGCGGCTGCGTCACCCCAGCAGGGCAGAGCGTTCCTGGCACAGGAGGTTCTGTGGGTCAACACCCCACGGGTGCCTCCAGGCCCACTCGCCCGCAGCCGCCCGGCAGAGCCCCGTGGGACCGGGGGCAGCGCCTGCCCGGGAGCTCCGTGCCTGGGACGCTCCTGCGAGGCCCGTGGGACATGGGGGTGCCCCGTCCTCACCGCCCGCTGTTCCACAGGGAGCTGCTGACTCAGGTTCCCACCCGGCACAGCAAAAACCTCGCCACGGGACAGTGTTTTCCTGCTTCTCCCAAAGTGCCGACGCTTGTGGGAATGAGAGTGGCGAAGGGGAAAGCAAACAGGGATGAGGAGCAAGAGGAAACCAGACAGCAGAGCGGAGGGAAAGGTGCAGCGTCAGCTGGGGGAGGCAGGGTGGCAGCAGTGCTGGTGTCCCCCTTCCCCTGCTCTCACTAACCCAGGGCTGACGGGGTCTCGCTGAGCCCTCAGCTGTCCCCGGGAGGACGATCTTCCCAGGCCACCCCCTCCCTACAGGTGCCCTGTGCTCCCTGCTCCCCAACGCCCCAGGCTGCGCCCCTGCAGCTGCCCCCCTCCATGCATCACCCCAGCTCTGGCTGAGCCAAACAAACAGCTCCTGGCCTGGCCAGAGGACGAACAGGTAATGCTGGTGTCCAGCACGGCCGGGGGATGGCGGGAGGAGCGGGGCCACGTGCCCCCGTGCCCTCGCAGAGGAGCCCCCACGCCCGAGGGAGGGCTCATCCCTGGGGGGCAGACAGGCTCACTGAGGGGGCTCACCCCGGGCACAGGCTCTGCCCTGGACCCCTCCTTGCCAAGCCAGGGTCCCGCACCCCCACTCCCAGCCCAGCCATGTGCAGGGGAGCGGCGGGTGCCTGGTGCCAGCGGGACGCAGCGCCGGGGCCCCAGCCGGCCGGGCACAGGGAGCTCGGGCAGCACGAACCCCGCTGGGAGGAAGCGGCGCTGAGAAATCGCAGGGTTGCCTCACTCCCCGCCGCAATCCTGCAAGAGCAGCCCCGGTTCCCAGGCGGAGGAAGTTGCTCCACAAGCAGCCACCGTCCTGCGCCCCGGCGTGACAAACACGTCCAGCCCACGGTGCCTGTGCGCAGCCCCCCCGAAGGGATGCAGGCCAGGGACCCCACAGACAGGTCACCCCCACCGCCTCCCCTCCCCACGGGGTCCCGGGGTCACCCCTGTGCATGGCCCAGCTCTGTGCAAGGCAGGACGATGGGGCTCACCGTGCTCCCTGCCTGGCTGGTGGCCGGGGCGAGGCTGGGGCGAGGCTGAGGCACCCCGAGGCCCCTGCGGCAGCCCAGGGCTCCTGGGGTGTGCGGGGAGCAGGCACCGCTCCGCATCCTCCGCTCTCCAGGCTGCAGGACCTCAGCCCGCAGCACACGGGGCTGGTGCGGGAGCTGGATGCAAAAGCCCCCCTGGGAGGATGCGCCCCTGGGCCAGCCCAGGAGAGGGGATGTCTGCCACCGGCTCCGGGGTGCAGCCAGGGGCGTGGGATCCGGCTCTGGCCTCCCTGGCGCTGTGGCAGATCCCTGGGCCTTTCCCATGCTATTCCCAATCCCACATTTCCACCGTACGTGGGAGCCACAGCTCCCCCAGCCCGGGCACACCGCCACAGCGCTGCCCGTGCCGCAGTGAGGGCAGAGCCAGGGCCCGGCGGCTCAGGGGAGAGGGGGGCTCGGGGTGAGCGATGGCAGGAGGAGCTCAGAGCCCCGGCCCGGCCGCGCAGCCCCTCCTGGCAAGCCCACGCTTGCCCCGTCCCCTCCGGCTCTGAGGTGTTGGGCCAACGTCCCCGGGCACCCTCGAGCTGGGCGGCCGGAGCCCTGGCAGGGTCTGCTGGCCGCAGCTCTGCCCCCCAGCCCAGCCTCTCCCACTGACTCACGGCCTCACTCGCCAGCTTCCTCCTGGCACTGGCCGGGGGATTTTCTGGTGACTCTTTGGAGGTTCCGCAGGGAGCAGGGGCAGGGCTGGTGCTCAGGGAATCCCCCGTGTCTGGCAGC